TGTGTGTGTGTGTGTGTGTGTGTGTGTGTGTGTGTGTGTGTGTGTGTGTGTGTGTGTGTGTGTGTGAATACAGTTTTAGGTTTAACAAGAAAAATATTTATTTTGTTTAAAAGATAACTGTTAACTATTAAGATAGCATTCCAATATTCACTTTAAATACTAAACATTTATAGTATATATATAGTATACATACATATGCACACGTACATACACCTACCTATAAAGGTAGGTCTTCTCTTCCTTTTCTTCTTTTTCCACTTCTTCCACGCACGCAAATATCTTCATAAGTGTACAATACAATCCGGTTTGTTATCATCTAACAACTACAAGCAGTACGAATTACATTCGATACATTCGAAATTTAACATGCACTTTTTATAAAGTAAATAAATTTCGTCGTAAATTGGAAACTAATAATCGTAAAAATTAACTAATAATTTATTTCAAAATTTTTGCATTTATTTTTCTTTCGCATAATAATTGTAAAAAAAAACTATAAAATTGTGTTGTTACATAATCGTGACTTATTTTACCATAAGATGTATATGTTACTTTTTGTTTTCAATATTAGAATGCAATATGTCTATAGTGATGGATTAATAGTCATAATATAATATTAACCTCTGACTGCGTTGCAATAGAAGTACACTACATCAGACGAATACATGTTAATAAAGTTCGTAATATGTAGATGTTTCATTGTCTTATATGTAGATGTCATTGTTTTCCATGCAATAATATAAATACAATCATTAATTAATTTGAGCTTACGGTAGTGTTCCTGGCCAAGTATTTTCGTATGTATATTATTTAAATTACAACATGTATTACAATATGTATATTACATTTCGCATTCACAAATGTTTAATCTACATATATTTCATATACCGAGTGTCCTAGCCTCTTCTCCACAATTTTTGTAAGAATGTAGAATTGAGGTAAACATAAAAATGTCCCATATCATTTTGCGATATTCGCAATAAATCTCGAGATATTAATTAAAGAAGATTAGTTAATGATCACGCGCGATAACTGAATAAAAAAATCCTCTATCATTTTGCAAATGACTACATAGATTTTTAGATATTATTTAAAGAAGATTTCTGTAATATAGCGCATAATCAAATAACAATTTTCTTTTATTAATAACTAAAAATCTACTTGGTTATTTATGAAAATGATAAAGAACTTTTTTATTCAATTTGACTTAATGTACAAACACATAATAGCATATATCCCCACTACAGCTCACCTATATATCGCGCGCGCGTGATCATACATAAATTTTCTTTAAGTAATAATTTAACTATTATTACGAATATCGCAAAACGGTAGAGGACTTTTATGTTCACCTCAATCCGTTCTACATTCCCACAAAAATTACAGAGGAAAGTCTGGGACACCCTGTATACAATACAAAAAAAAACATATTTTGAATAATAAAGGCACTTATTCCGAGATAAGATAAATAAGGTTGTTCACATTTCATGCAAATGTTCCCTTGTACTTTATACAAGGTGTCCGGTAACTGATCGAGCAACCGCCATGTACGGTTAGAAAGGGTCAAAATAATCATAAAAGTTATATATAATTTTGAAATTTTCTTAATATTTATTCCGTAATTAATTAAAATGTATAAACGAATGAGCTTACGAGAAGCGGTAGGACAGGCTTTTACAGGTGTGTAAAAGAAATGGCTTACCTCTTAGCAACGATGAGTAAACAGCTGATTTCGAGGCGGAGTAATAAACGACTCGTATATGTTACTCCGTCTCGAAATCAGCTGTTTACTTATCGTTGCTAAAAGGTAAGCCATTTCTTTTACACACAGAGTTTGTCCTATCCGCTTATCCGCTTATCGTGTCCTCATTCGTTTATACATTTTAATTAATTACGGAATAAATATTGAGAAAATTTCAAAACAGTATATAACTTTTATGATTATTTTGACCCGTTCTATCCGTATACGGTGGTTGCTCGATCAGTTACCGGACACCCCGTATAGGAAACATTTCTAGTTACGATAATAAAATGTTTAACATACAATAGTTTTTAATTATAATACTGAAATACTTTACATATAGTATTTTTTTTATATAAACTAGCTCAATATATTTATTTGATCATTAACGTGTAAAATTTCAGACTCATACTATTGAAAACTTCAAATATTTTAAAGAAGAAGTAATTTCAGAAGATAAGATTGCGCCATAGATGTGAAAGCAAAAAATAGAAAATACTGGAAAGAGTGTCTTTACGCTAATTAAAGTTGAAGTATGTGTTGTAACGGGAAAACCACATTAGCTGATGTTGAGCCTGGAGACGAAATCGTTATTTCCGGGATCGCCGGCAGATTCCCCGAATCTGACAACATCAGGCAACTTCAAAATAATCTATTTAATAAAGTGGATCTTGGTTCAGATGACTGTCGACGTTGGCTACACGGTGATATTCCTTTCAATTTTATTACCAAAAAAGGCTAGACGAGTATTAAGTATCATATAACTTAATATTATTTTGTTTGTTACATGATTTAATATATAGAACATTTGGAAATACCAAAACGCTTAGGAAAGGTCAATAACATCGACCAATTTGACGCGGAATATTTTGACATACCCTTCAACCAAGCCCACCTGTTGGATCCTATGAGTAGATGTCTTTTGGAACATACATACGAGGCCATCGTCGACGCGGGAATAAATCCAAAAGATTTACGCGGCACGAAAACCGGAATATTCATCGGAGTGTGTTACACGGAATCGGAGAAAAGTTTCTTTTATGAAAAAACGCAGGTACAAAATATGCTCAAATCATGATCACTATACATTATATCTAAAACTATTATAGTTTAATATATTATTAGTATCTTGAATATCTTCAAAACTATGATAGCTATAGAAAACTCTACGTATGTAGTGTATGCAGTAATAAGTCGTATAACTTTTGCGCACAAAATTTACTTTTCATAATTTTTCGAAATTATTTTAGATCCTAACAATTAATCCTTACCAAATGATATACGACGATTTTGTTTATCTTTTATGGTTTAATATATTCTAAAAGTTGATTCATTATGCAAAAAGATTAGCTAAAAAAGATAAAGACCTCTACTTGATCATAAGATTCCCTATTAAGATCTTTAGAAATTGATAAGGAATCTTTTATCACTTGTCATTTCGCCGTGCCTAAGCGCGTGCAATCTAAGCCGTCATTAGTGAAATATAATCGCTTTCCTTTTAAAAACTATTATAGCCTCGACATTTTTGTATTAAGTTTTTGAAATATTCTAAAGAATCTGCCATTAAAATATCATACAGTAGTTTCGGGACATATTTCCTGAAGTTATATATGCAACAGTTTATATATATATATATATATATATATATATATATATATATATATATATATATATATAT